CGCAGTAACCGCTGCTGCAGGAGCCAAGAGTGCAGGCCCCTTGAGCACTCGATAAAAATGAGCCTTAAATGCAGAATAAGTACAAAATGTCCGCTTGCAGTCGGTGCCAATGCACTTGAAAAAACAATGGGGTTCGTTTCTATGAACTCTACAGTGCAGCACATAGCCCCTCAATGACTGTAGTGTTTTGCTGCAAAATGGACAGGTAATCATTATTTAAACTAACAAAATCCGCTTAATGTCCGTGTCCCGTTCTGGCGCCAAACGGTCTAACTTCTGCAGTTAGCGTTATCACTGAAAACCTCGTCCAAACAAAAGCTGGTATTTTCAGATAAAAACTGCTATGCTTTCACGTCTGAAAAATATAAAATGTTAGCTTACCAGAAAAAGAAGTCCCCACAGCGATGTTTTCTGGAGCAGTTGAGTCCACTACCACACAGCAAGATCCAGTGAGTGTTCGCCAAAATCCAGCCGCTACCGCGACGTTTAAACCGACCAATAGCAAGACAGGACTTCTGCTTCAAGTTCACCGACACTCTCGTGCAGCAGCCCACTCAAACTACGGTAATGCCAAAGCGTTTTATCACAGAATAAATCCCAAAAAATTCAGGGACAGGATGTTGACATCTGTGTGCAGAGTAAATGTCAAACTATATATAATGAATGTCAAAAATCCCTGCCTGCTGTTTTGTTACAAAAGTTTGATTTGCAGCATGAATGTGTCACAACGTAATCTTTGTTCAAAATCCAGCACCACAAACACCTTTATAAGTAAAGGTGCCGCCATAGTATGGCAAGCTGGTTTATCATACAATAAACTCACTTCAAATTAGATTTCATTATGTCATTCCAATATTAAACAAATAAAGAAGCCAGTACAATTTTTAAGTCATCCCAGTCATTGTTTTCTTTCAAAGAACTTTTCCTTAATAAATGCGCATAATGGTCAAATCAGCTGGATTTAAAAATTAGTTTTGCTACGTCTGATGAAACAGAACACCTGCATTTCTTTAAAATACAACATGATAAACACCTAAAAATATATTTGTTTGCTGAAAATTATAGTAAAGATGTGGCTGAGCTGAATTTTTCCTTAATAAATGAACTTAATGGTCAAATCAGCTGAATAAAAAAAAATACGGTAGTGTCGCTTCAGTTCTGTGAAAATGGACGTGCATTGAGTGGAAAGCTGCATTTCTTTAAAATTTAACAAGATAAACACCTAAAAAAAAATTTGTTTGCTGATATTATAGTAAACATGCATCTGAGCTGAAATTTTCCTTTATAAATGAACGTAATGGTCAAATCAGCTGAAAAAAAAAAAAAACGGTAGTGTCGCTTCCTCCGGTGGTTCTGTGAAAATGGGCGTGCATCGAGTGAAAAGCTGCATTTCTTTAAAATTTAACAAGATAAACACCTAAAAAAATTGTTTGCTCGACATTATGGTAAAGGTGTCTCAGCTGAACTTTTCTTAATAAATGCACTTTGACGGTTAAAACATGGCAAAATGAAGCCGACGAAATAAACGGCTTTAAAATTACTACACGCTAAAATATCCGAACACCAAGCAGGTACACCAATAGTCGTCAAAAGCCTAGAGGGCCCTTTAGCGCCCATAGCGGCCGAAAGTGGTACTGCGTTGTGCCCCTAGCGGCCGATTGTGGTACAGCACCATTTTTTCCGTCAAAATGAATTGAAACGGTCATATCTCAGCCAAAAATTGGTCTAAAAATATGGGGAAAAATCCATAAATATGTCGCTTCGCAGTATAAGTCGCAGGACATGCAAATTAGGAAAAAACTGCGACTTATATGCCGGAAAATACGGTACTACTTATAACGAATGCAGATGTGGTATTTGCAAATGATGCAGATCTTTTTAACAACTCCTTACCTTGAACAATATGAACAGAGTTGTGGGAAGTAAAAAGACATTCATAGTTTGTTCATTCATTTGTTTTTCTCCTTGTAATGTCTTTATTTTTTCCTCCTTAACCACAGAGACCAGGTCTTCACTTGACAAAACTGTTTTGTCCATGTAACGTGATGACATAATAACATATGCCATATTCCCTATGACATTAATAACTCATGAAAAGGTGTTTGGCTCTTTTGAATGGCCCTATGAAATAAAAAGCTTTGTCAAGATCAGGATCCCTTCAAAGAGCCGTTTATCCCATCATTGCATGTTTTTGTAAAATAACATTTTTGGGCTGTTTGAATGTAATAGATAATTTAACTATGTCATATTTTGGATACTTATGCATTTCGTAAATATTGTTGATATGAGTAACTTGGAATTGTTAAAAATTTGAATGTAAAAATACCTGAAAAAAAAATCAATTTAACACTATTATGCTGTAAATGTAACTTTTATATTTTGTTTTCAGAATCACAATTTATCTTTGTTTTAAACACAGCAATTAGTAATTTTGAACACAAAATGTTGTCTTTTTAACATATTGCTATTGTAAAAATAACATTAATAATTTGTTTTAAATTTTACACCACACCACTGTTACTTAAACATTGTCTTCCTGTATTTCAATTTACAAAATATTTCTGTCACCATTTTACAGACATTTACTGTTAAATTCACGGACATTTTTTACAGTGTAGCAGGAAACATGGCTCATGACAGCAGAAGGACAGGATCGTCCCTCGGCACCTACAGATGGCTGTCCGCAGCGACGAGGAGCTCGGCAGACTGCTGGGAGGAGTGGCCATCGCTCTGGGAGGAGTTCTCCCCGGCATTCGGGCGGTCCTACAGCCCGGGGGAACAGAGAGGCCAGCCGAGATTGGGTGGACGGCTCGGACGGCATCTGCAGCCAGTTTCTTAGGATCCACTGTGGGATGGACTTTTACAAGAGATCCTTCCTGTCTACAGCCATCAGCATCCATAACATCTTTTAATGAAATGAGGATAACAAGTTACAACAAATAATTTCCCTTTGGGATTAATAAAGTATTTTTGAATTTGAATTGAATTGGATTTGTTATCGTGACAGGCCTAGCTGTTAGCAGGACTGTGCCCGCCACTGTTTAAAAATATAAATTAAACTCACGAGATTGCTGAGTACTGATCTGAGTTTGTTTTTCTGCCCTGCAGAAGGAACAAGATGGAGGAGTGGAGTCAAGTTTCTCACTACGCCTCCCTAAAATCAGTTGCAAGGAAAATGTGATGCTGTTTGTCTCACCATGAAAGAAAACCAACAATCAGCTGATCAGTCAAACCAAAAATAATAAAGCATTATTAAAAAAATTAAGAAAATCCTGAAAATTAGACATGATCTTCAAACCTATTGTAAGTGTTGAACTAAACTTTTGCTTCACTGAAGAAGCAGCTGTTGTCACTAAACAAGAACAGAAAGAGATGAAAACAGAGAAAAATCACCCTGGAGCTGTTTTTTTTTTTTTCCTACAAGTAAAGGAAAATATTTCTAGCAGTTCAATCAAATCATTCAGATTAACTGAAATAATTGCAAACAGGTGCGCCCACACAGCTTCCGCTAACAGACTTTATGGGCATGGAGCAGCAATATCGCTGATATTTTTGAAGGAAACATTTAAAAAGTGTTCTTTTTGCTTGAATGGATCAAACTATGAGAAACAGATGAAATGAAGATGATTATCTAACAACATCAGGATTTCAATGTGATTTATTCTGAAAAACAAAAGTAACTTTTCTGTTTGTGCTATTTATATTTTCAAACTCCATGACTTTTCATAGGAAAATTTTAATTCCATTAAAGTCACCGTTATCGTGCTCAGCCAAAAATCAATGGGCGCCACGATGTTTTTGCCTCATGTGTCTGTTAGCAAAATAGTTAATGAAATATGGAGAGAATTTCAAAGAAACAGTACGTCAGCCCGATTCAAGATGGCTGCCACAGCCAACAGACTTATAACTCAATTAACTTTAAAGCTATCGACCCAAAGTTTGGTATGGTAGTAGCTGAGAGTCATACTTGTTCCAAGTGCAGCTCATTGTACACAATCTTTGCCTAAAACTTTAACTGTTTGAGTGTCTGTTAGCAAAATATCTCATGAACCAGTGGGCAGATTTGAATGAAACCTTCAGAAAATAATAATTTGATGGAAACTAGCTGTTTAACTTTCCCAGTGAATCCAGTTCAAGATGGACGCCACATGTAAGCAACATTAACCTCCAACTTATTTCACAGACATTGAGCTGAAATTTGGTGTGGTAGTAGCTGAGAGTCACCCACAACATGCACATAATGCGTGACATCTGCATTCCAGTGCTTTCAAAGTAGCTATAATTTCTCAGCATAAGATGCTCTTAAATTTAATGAAAGGCGGCGGGTGATATGCATTCAAAGAATGCTATAATCTTTTTATTACAACAGTTATTACAAATCTGGAGAGGAAAAAAACAAATGTTTTTTGTTTGAAAAGGCAAAAATGAAGGAGGGCTCCTGTTATTTTCTTATTTTTGAGTCAGGTCCAACACAGATGTGAACTCCAAATCTGGCGTTAATGAGCAAATTAATGAATGAATATAAAATAAACATTTCTCGTCAGACCGTCCAGATGGAGGAGGTCAAACAGCTTCTGGATCTGAGGCTTCACGGAACATCTGCAGGTTGGATTTGAATCTTTTGGTCGTTTTTCTCCCCCTCTCTTTCTGGCGCACATCCAAAATGTGGCGCAGAGCCTTTTGCGGTGTTTCTGCAAACAAATGCGGACTTCACCATGTAGAGCGCAGCGCAGCACCAATGCGCGCTTTTTAAACTCCCCCTCTTTCTCTGGGAGACAAAGACTTTACACTTTTTCTTTCAGAAAAAAACAAAAAACAAAAAACAAAGTATCTATTTTTTGTGTTTGCTGCAGAAAAATGGCAGATTTATTGGTGAATAAATCCCCAAAATAAAAAAATAAAAGGCGCACGAAGCCGCGCGTAAAGTCATTCAGCTCGATTGGAATCCTAACAGGTTTATATTCAGGGATTAGAGATTAGAGCTGTTTAAATGAACTTACTTTGGTCGGAGCTGGCAGGATATTTCTCTAAAAGAAGAAAGAGTCCCTCCCGTCCTTCCCTCCCCCTCACTTCTGCTTTTTGTCTCGCAGGATCCTGAACTTGTGAATCAAGTTTCAGGACGGACAAAATACAAGGCTTCCCTCCGCCCACACAGGCTCTTGTTTCTGGGTACCATGTCAAACACCATATGGAGCAAATCAAACCAGGGAGGAGGAGGAGGAAGAGGAGGAGGCCCTTACTGTGAGTTTACCTTTCAATGCAACATTCCCAATCCCATCCATCCCAGACACAAACTGATCCAAACAGGACGGTAAACATTTACACTCGAACTAAACTTCAGCTCCAGGATGAGTCAACCCACAACATCCTCATCTTAATATTCATTTAACTGAAGTTTAATATAGGACATCGTTTGACTCCTGAGTGGCATTTCAGTGATTTTTTTCTGTTTACTTCACAAATATGAGCTTTCTGCTTTCATAAAGAACCGTATGTTTTTTTTAAAGACATGTCTGAAAGAAATCCAGATTTTGTTGCATTAAAAAAAATACTGCTACATGGTGTCCACACGTCTGTGTCTCTCACTCCGACTGCAAAGTTAATGAGAGGCAGAAAGAGTGACTAAAAATTAAGCCTCAAAGAGTCGCTGCGCAAAAGCAACAAGTCAAAAATCACCAAAGCTAAACTGATTGTGTAAAAACATATGAAATGCCAGCTCAGTCAAGGAAAGTCTAACTTTTTGTGAACCGTTTAAACTTCGACTGCCAAGTTGAGCTCCAGAGGGGGTTTCTCATTGGACTTGCTCAGGCAGGCATTATATACATGTACATATACATATATTGGAACATATATAGGTACTCCCTACCACTGTGTGCATGGTCTTTTTCCAAATTTGTGTATTCCACTTTTTTGATTTCATGTTTTTTCCCCTGTGTAATTACAAACCGGATTCCAAAAAAGTTGGGACACTAAACAAATTGTGAATAAAAACTGAATGCAATGATGTGGAGGTGCCAACATCTAATATTTTATTCAGAATAGAACAAAAATCACAGATCAAAAGTTTAAACTGAGAGAATGTATCATTTTAAGGGAAAAATCTGTTGTTTACAAATTTCATGGCGTCAACAAATCCCAAAAAAGTTGGGACAAGTCCATTGTTACCACTGTGTGGCATCCCCCCTTCTTCTTACAACACTCAACAGACGTCTGGGGACAGAGGAGACCAGTTTCTCAAGTTTAGAAATAGGAACGCTCTCCCATTCATGTCTAATACAGGCCTCTAACTGTTCAATCGTCTTGGACCTTCTTTGTCACACCTTCCTCTTTATGAAGCACCAAATGTTCTCTATAGGTGAAAGATCTGGACTGCAGGCTGGCCATTTCAGTACCTGGATCCTTCTCCTACGTAGCCATGATGTTGTGATTGCTGCAGAATGTGGTCTGGCATTATCGTGTTGAAAAATGCAGGGTCTTCCCTGAAAGAGATGACATCTAGATGGGAGCATATGTTGTTCTAGAACCTGAACATAGTTCTCTGCATTAATGGTGCCTTTCCAGACATGCAAGCTGCACATGCTGCAAGCGATCATGCAACCCCATACCATCAGTGATGCAGGCTTCTGAACGGAGCGTTGATAACAACTTGGGCTATCCTTGTCCTCTCTGGTCTGGATGACATGACGTCCCAGTTTTCCATAAAGAACTTCAAATCGTGACTCATCTGACCACAGAACAGTCTTCCATTTTGCCACACTCCATTTTAAATGACCCCTGGCCCAGCGCAAACGTCTGAGCTTGTGGAGCTTGCTTAGAAATGGCTTCCTCTTTGCACTGTAGAGTTTCAGCTGGCAACAGCGGATGGCACGGTGGATTGTGTTCACTGACAATGCTTTCTGGAAGTATTCCTGAGCCCATTCTGTTATTTCCTTGACAGTGGCATTCCTGTTTGAGGTGCAGTGACGTTTAAGGGCCCGGAGATCACGAGCATCCAGTAGAGTTTTATGGCCTTGATCCTTACGCACAGCGATTGATCCAGATTCTCTGAATCTTTTGATGATGTTATGCACGGTTGATGATGATAACTTAAAGTCTTTGCTATTTTACGCGGGATAACACCATTCTGGTATTGCTGCACTATCTTTCTGTGCAACAATGGTGGAATTGGTGATCCTCTTACCATCTTGGCTTCTGAGAGACACTGACACTCCGAGAAGCTCTTTTTATACCCAATCATGTTGTCAATTGACCTAATTAGTGTTAATTGGTCTTCCAGCTGTTCGTTATATACTCAATTTCCTTTTCCCAGCCACTTATTGCTACTTGTCCCAACTTTTTTGGGATTTGTTGGCACTGTGAAATTTTGAATCAACATGTTTTTTCTTTAAAATGTTACATTTACTCAGATTAAACTTTTGATCTGTCATCTACGTTATATTACGAATAAAATATTGACATTTGCCATCTCCACATCATTGCATTCAGTTTTTATTCACAATTTGTTTAGTGTCCCAACTTCTTTGGAATCCGGTTTGTACAACATGCTACTGGACGCCTCAAATTCTCTCCCTGGGATTAATAAAGTATCTATCTCCATTTTTTATAATATGCGAATTGACTTCATTGTGGGACATACTATTATCAAGTCAAAGCATATTACTCGTATCGAGTCACGTTATGACGCTTTAATTCTTCTGGGTTGTCCCTCCTCAAAGGTAAAAGGTTAAATGTTTTTGTGAGGCATCTGAAATCTTCCCGTTATGCTCGGCATCACTCCACGAATTCATAGTTTTAGCAATTTTTTTTCCACTTGTTCTCGTAATTTTCTTTTTGTCTGAACAGAAAGCATCAAGATTTGATTTAACAGCAGACACTTCAGCTTATGAGAGTGCCCGACTACAAAGAAGCTTTTAAAGAAGCCCAGACACAGAAGTTAAAATATTCTGGACCTAAAACCTGATCACCCACTGGTTTGTTAAAATAAATAAAATGTTGGTACGCCTGATGTTAAAAGCCTAATTTAAATCTGAAACCAACGAGTCACTGCTAAAACAAAACCGACATCAAAGTGGATTTGAGAGATTATCAAGAAGAGTTTATTGCATTAAAAAAAAAAGAAGCATTTCTCAAATATACAGATAAGGGTTGTTGATGAACAACCAATAAGCAATATAATCCATAAATAGAAAAAAATCTGAATATAAACAGAACATTTCACGTTTAATTGTGTGAATATGTACACGTTAGCAGTTTACTGCCAGAGGAATGATTCTCGGAGGGAATGAAGGTTCAAGTTATAAAATCCATCAGCAGCATGTTTGAAATGCGACGCCTCTTAAAGTCACCAACAGGTTAAAAACTGTCAACAACTTCATCTGGGGCTTTTTAACCGAGGTGAAACTAAAGGAAACGAGGAGCGGAGTCAGAGCGGGAGCTGTGGGGGCGGAGAGTCCCGTCAGTCCTCCGACAACAGCCGCAGGAAGTGGTCCTTCCTCTTCTTCAGCACCTCCTGAAAATCCTCCTGAAAAAACACAGCGGGAGAGACTCAGAACCAGAGCAGCAGTCAGAGGAGGAAGGACGGCCGGCGGGCGGGCGTCTGCTGAAGATTATCAGCTGCTCTGTTCACAACCAGAACCACAAACAGTAAAAACCCAAAGGCAACAACTTCCCTGCTCAAACTGAGATCATTTTACAACCCGGTGGTCACAATCAAAAAATTACGCTGATGGATTAAATCCAAATGGTCTTAATTAATGAGACCAATTTTCTATGATCATTTAACAAAATGTAATAAAGTCTTTGTCATCACTTCCCTTCGTTAAAGACTCAAAGGTATAGTTCATAAATTTTTCATGATAATCGACTTTAGTACAAGTTTTTTAAATCTTAATAGATATATATCGTATTTTCCTCCGTCCACGTCGCACCGCCCTATGAGTCGCATCAGTCCAAATACGTTTAAGTGGAAAAATCCATAAATGCGTCTCTTCGCTGTACAAGCTGCATCTATTGTGCGTCACTGCTGACCACCCAGAAATGTGGGCCGGTGTTGTGCCAAAAAATCGATTGGCTGCCAAATGGCGGTTGCGGGAGCGTGCACAGGAGGACTTTAACAAGAACTGAACAAGATTAACACTTAAAAACAATTATTTGTTTGCTCAAAATTATAGTAAAGACATGGCTCAATTAAATACACTCTGGCAGTCAAATCAGCTGCATTTAAAAACACAAATTGCAGAAACGGCGGGGACGAGCCTCTGCACTTCTTCGAAATTTAACACGATAAACACCTAAAAACATTTATTTGTTTGTTTGAAATTATAGTAAAGGCGTGTCTCAGTCTAACGTTTGCTTTTAAAAAAAAAGGACTTTAATGGTTAAATCAGCTGTATTTGCTGCCTCGGTGCTCAGGGAGCACGCAGAGGGAGGAAAAGAAAAGGAACAACGCTGCTTGTTTCTTCAAAATTTATCAAGAAAAGCACCTAAAACAATTGTTTGCTCGAAATTATAGCAAAGGTGCGTCTCAGTTGAACTTTTACTTAATAAATGCACTTTAATGGTAAAATTAGCTGCATTTTGCCAGGGAGGTGCAGCTGGCTTGACGGGGTTGTACTGTGGCAAGCCGATTGCGTCATCAATAGGTGAAGATTCTCAGTCGTTCAGGACATGGTAAATTCAAAAAAGTTCAAGACAAAAACAATAAAGTATAATAAATAAAATCCAGTTTTTGTTTTGAACTTTTCTGAATTTGTCATTATAGCCACTTTTACCTATTACATGACACAACGGCATGCCTTACAAATACTACTACTCTGCTGCCATCTAGTGGCCGAAAATAGAACTGTTCGTATTTTTTTATTCAGTCAGAATGAATGAAAACAGTCATATCGCAGCCAAAATTTGGTTTATAAATATGGGGGAAAAATCCATAAATATGTCGCTTTGGCCCATAAGTCACAGGGCATGTAAATTATGCAAAAAGCCACGACATATAGGCTGAAAAACACTAAAAAACTGTTTCTTATTAAGATCTTTATAATGCTTACACTTAAACATGCAATGACATGCTGCTGCCACAAGGGGGAGACAAACATTAAAAATAAAATTCTTTAAATTAATCTGTACTTATTGATTATATCTGCTGATCTCACTTTATGGAGCAACGTGGCTTTTTAATTTTAATGTGAATACTGAATGACCAAAAATAAATAAATAAATAGCGTAAAAGTCACTTCTTAGGATCCGTTTTTGGTTCAACTTCCCCTGGAGGAAAAATCTTAAGCAACTGAAAGCTTTATTTTGTACACAATTTGTTCTGCAGGCAGAAGAAGCAATTAAGGGTGTAATCATGTTTTTTAATTATTATCATTTACTCTGAAACAGCTGCTTGCTTCAGGACAAAACTCAGGAATGTGATCGGTGAATGAAAACTGGGAGGACAGAAAGTTAAACAGTGAAGTAAACAGTGAAGCAGACTCACAGCTGTAGCCAGTTTCTCCATGTAGGGGATGAGTTTCTGCAGCTCTCTGTCCTCCGCTGCTCCAGACCAGCTCTTTATGGGGATCGTGTTCATCAGCTGCAAAACAACGAGACACACCATCGAGTCGACTCTTCCAAGCGACAGCAGAGTTCACCAGCAGTGAAAAACAAGTTTAAATCAGCTCATCAGGTTAAAATATCTCACGAACCACTGGACATATTTTAATATAATTTTAATAATAATAATTTTAATTTATTAACCTTTATTTAACCAGGCAAATCCCATAATACAATCCCTTTAATGTAATGTTTAACGTGAACTGCTAAAACAAAATTATGTCTGACGGGTTTATAAACTCAGGAGAGCTTAAAAACAAAACCAAAGAAGGTTTGTGCTCACGTGGTACGGATAAGTATGAGCCGCGTTGTCTAGGACAACAGTCTTGGCGAGGTCCCTCCCGAGGACGCCGAGATCCTTGACGTAGTGTCCGAGGACACAAGCACAGTCGTCCTGGTACAGGCGGTGTCTACAAAGATCATACACGTTGAACACCATTAAACGATCACTGCCGGGTTCCTGCCAAACTACGCACACCAGTTACTTCCTGCTGAGGGTTTCACTGGGAAACGTACCGAAACAGTTTTCTCTGAGGGTCCAGAATCTCCAGGATCTTCTCGGCGTATTCTCTCTTCGCACACGTGTAAACAAACAGCTGGAAAACACAGTGAACAGTTATTAAAAATCTGGGGCTAGTGCATGATCTGAAAACCTTAAAATTAACCCTAATCCCACATACCTCGTAGGTTTTTGCCATGGCTTGAAGAAACTCCTTCACGTGCGGTCGTAGAATCATGTACACCTGTTTCATTCAGGGTTGGGACAGAAATAGTGAAGTTTTTTTCTGGTGAAATAAACCTGTTTTTATTAAAACCAAACTAAGTGATGCAGCTGTTTTTGTTCAGGCACTAGTGTTGCAGCAGACGGATTATGTAATTCAAGTGTTGAGACTTCTTTAATCTAAACTACAAAATTCACTTCCCAGCAGCTTCTGTTCCTCATCCATAAAATAATGAGACGCAGAGGAGTTCTGAAAATATTCTGCAGCGGTTTCCAAACTATGAGCTGCAGAGAAGAACTTAAGTTTGCAACATTTTGTTCCACAGGCGAAAATTTTCAACACGGACGAAAAAAACCAACGCGTTCAACACCAAACGGTGATGGACGACTTCATGTAAATGAAAGATTGACAGAACAATCTGAGTAGCTACAACTTTTCTTGGAGGAATAATGGGGATGGTGTGTGGCAAGAGGCAGATTTCATGTTGACGCCGACCAAGTTTAAAAAGAGACCGGACTGTGCTTGTCCAGGTTAGTGGCACCTGAACATGTCCTGACTTGGTGCTATATAAAAAAACTGGATTGAATTATTATTCCTCAGTGGGACTGTCTACTTCCTGGGAAACAAGCACTGAACACCAGCATTGTTTTTTTTTTTTTTTTTTTTTGTAAAAGAAAAATATTCATGTTTTAATCAAACACTAATTAAATGTGACATATGCAGCTACAGATGCTTTATTGAATGTCATCACATTAAATTGATTACCAAAAGGATTTAACAGCATTATGAAAGATTAACCCCGAGCAGATACCTTGTACTGATGGTCTTGGAAAGCTGTGTAGAAGGTGTAGTCTGCGTCGTTGATCACATTCAGGGAGCTGAACATCAGCGTCTCCTCCTGAAAAGACAGAACACGCTCAGCCTCAGTTTCTCTCAACTAAAACCTGGATCTATTCCTAAACTGAAACCCCTCAACCTCAGGCTAACGCTGCGACAGACCGATGAAGCAGCAGAGAACAGAATACGGCTGAAACCCTTCCAGACATTTGGAGTGCGTTTGGCTGGAAGCAGATGTGGATCGGGCCAACATCTGGGATGTTTCTTGTTAATATGAGAACACACACAAAGAGAAGGAAGTTCTGCAAAGACAGACTGCAGTTGTTGTTGTTGACACTTCTGTAGCGCTGCTCCTCACTACAGTGTCATTTATTAACGTCTTCATAGAATCTCAGTTAATAATAATTTATTCCAGCTTTGACCCACATGAAAACATTATTTTGCTTCATTAAATACAATAATTATTCATATTATTTATTGAAGACAACTGTAACACCTGCAAGAACATCATTCTCGATAAAACAGGGTTCAGCAAAGAAAAGATGAAAAAGATTTTTAAAAACCAGCTTTACTGCAACGTGTTTCAACTACAGTGACTCCATGAGGAAAACACACAAGTTCAGCCAAAACAAAAAAATTAATGTGCCATTATAGACTTTGCACAACAAATCCAAGCCATAAAAAAAAAAAAAAAAAACCCTGAATTAAAAATAATAATGTCAGAGCTCATGCTTGATGCTGAATATTTATGGTTGGGCGTAAAACGGACGTGTAAAGTTACCAGGTCGACCACCAGCGTGGCCTCCGGAGTGCTCCTGGTCTTTGGGGGAATATCTCTGAGTCGAGGTTGAGAGTGCCGAGACTGTGACAGGATGTTCTTGATTAGAGTAAAACTGAAAAAAATAAATAAATACATTTGTAAAAGTTCTATTACAAACCCTGATCTTAAACGTACATCAAAATAAACAGGTTACAAAGAGTTATCTAGGACCGCTCTTTGTAATACATGTTGGGTGTATTCTGGTTTGTTCGCAGTACCTTGAAAAACAACAATTCAAAGTTATCAATACAAAAAAAAACCTGTGCCGGTACAATGTTGTGGTCTGCGCTTTTGACTTTTACATGTTTTTGTTCAATCTCATCAACTATAAATCATTAAACTGTATACATTTAATTTAGGATTCTGTAAATAAAACTCTAAGGAAAGATGATTTCTTAACCAGCTGAGGTTTGAATATATATTTTAAATAAATGAGTTATGCTTACGGGTCAAACACGTCATCCTCCTCCTCTCCAGCCAGCAGCTCAATGGAGCTATAACCAAACACGCCTTGTTCTGGGCTCATTATGACACTGTTCTCAGTTTCAGGACACTTTAAATCTGGGCAGAGCGAAAAACATCCACATGTGAGAAATGCAGCAGAAATTCACTGAGGATGACAACAGCTAAAGCATTGAGCTCACACACCAAATTAACGTGTGACAACATTGTTTTTTTGCAGGTAACAGTTCAGAACAAAACAGCTGCGGCCCTTACTTTCCTTGCTGGGCGTGAGGAAACGCACTAAGGGTGAGTAGATGTTTCTGGCGGTTGAATTATGAGGAGACTCGATGTCGATCTCTGACAGGACGTGCTCATGGCGCATTATGGGCCTGAGTGGAGTATTAAAGGCTAAATCTAGAGAACAAGAAACAGTAACGCAATAAATCAAATCGGTGTGAGGAGGAAAGATGAATGAAATAAAAACAAAAAGCTACACTTATTAAATTAAAAATAAAATACAGGTTGATCTTTTCGAGCAAAAGTACCCGACTCTCGATCTTTAACGGCAACGGCCCTCTTTCTCGGCCAACCACGAGGTAGCCGGCGCCTCTTCATCATAGGAACCTCATCATCAGCGGATTTATCCAAGGTGTCTTCACCCTGTGCAGCACAAAGAAAAACAATCAAAGAATTATTATTAGTTACACAGAGTGGCTGGGGATCTGATAAAAATCTACAACCTTTTTTTTAAACAAAGCTTGATCACAATGAGAGCATGTGACTTTAAATAATTTATTTGTAAATATATACCTGTCAGCTATGATTACATTCAGTTTGGTTATATTTATATACACATCGTGTACATTCATGCACTACCTGAGGAGCCTGCAGTTAAGTCTGTTGTAACTTTTTACTCAATAACACCAACTCATTCTGCACAAATACTCATCATTTTGTTATTGACAACTGCACATGCTCGATGCGTACGTCACAAGTTGAGCCCAGTGCAACAGAAGCTGCATCACTATTTGCCAACAACTGTTTTACCTTCGAGTATTTCATGTCTGGTTCATCTACCGCTGGCCTTTTATGCATAGCAGAGTCTCACTTATGAACCACAAGATCCATATCTGTTGCAATAAACCATCAAGTCAAAATAAAGCCGCAGCAGTGAGCAAAAATCCAGACAGCAACTAAACCTTGCAAAGCTTCAGTTGCTTAAACGGTAACTGTGATCTGATGACCTACTTTATTAGGACCACCTCACGCGCAACTGACCTTCTTACTCTACGACGAGTTGACTGCATCTGTGCGCAGAAAATTCTGCAAGTCTAAGCTGGGATGAAATCCTGACCGAGCATCGTCCTCAGTCAGGATTGATGCAGAGATTTCAGATTAGGTTAAAATTTTGTTTTTATGCTCCTTTGACACATAGATGGCTGGATTTTTTATTTTTTTTTAATTCTAATTGATTTTTCAATTAATCTGCGTGTCTGAACTCTGATTTTGGTGCTTTTCTGTGACGGCTATTGGACATATAAAATCATGGATTTAATTTTATGGTAACTTTAGAGAAGGGTTAGTTTTGTGTGGTTGTATGGCCTCTCATCTGACAAAAAGCTCATCCTCATCCTTCACGCCCTCATGAAAAGCACGAGATAGAGTCATCCAGAGAAAAATGTCCAATTTGGCACAAACCCCCATAGGAATTTATTATAAGCTTTAACATGCAGAAGTGACTTTTTACAGTGGTGAATGAACTGTGGACGAAGTTCATGTCATATTTTAGCATGGGCAGTGCAGTGTATACAAACTACAATGTTCAGCATTGCAACGATCATAAAGTTTTTCTATTAAACAAATATCTCAAATGCAGAATGTGGCAACAGCGTCCCCTACTGATGACGTCAAAAATGAGAATAAAGTAGTCTATTCACTTCAGTTTATTTATATAGCGCCAAGTCACAACAGAGTTATCTCAGGGCACTGACGTTCACATTCATTATTAATGACAATTAGTAAAGTTATCAATCTAAAGGAAGGAAGGATGCCAGAAGATGCGTTGAAGTCTCAACCAAACCTGAACTTAATGAACTTCATGGATAAAATATTTACTACCAACCTGTTATGATTCCCAAATGTTCAACCAACTTTCTTTAAAAAGAGAAAACCCTCTAAGACAATGCGAGTTATCATCCTTCTGCTTGTAGCCAACTAAACTAGCTGCTACAGCTAACGCTAGTTAGCAACATCCTCGCGAAACAAGGAAAGCTACAAGCTAACCGAGCAAAGCATCGACACATTAAGCGAGTACTACAAAATTATTCGTTTTCATAATATTACTGTAGTTATTATTTATGATATGCTCAACTGTGGATATACTGTACAATATACCTCGGTTTGTTGCGAGCTATCCGTCACAGCAGTCGTCGACGCTGGTCTCGGCGTCCTGATGGAGCGCTGACGGCTGTTTTTTTTTGGCGTCTCCGAGCAGGCCTCAACTATTTTTTGAGACCTGAGTCTCATTTTCTTTCCTCACATGGAACTAGTTAATCGTAAACGCCACCGCTGTACCGTACTTCTTCCGTTAAATGCTTTGTTTTTCTCCCTCTCTCCCCGCCCACCGTCAGCTCATAAGTATCGTTAGGTTAAACTCCGCCCCGCTTTTTGAATCAATGAACGGGTTTCAAGTCTGCACGGGGTGCGTTAGGTTCATAGCTGCGGACAGCTGTGGGGGACGGTGCTTGAGAGCAACGTCAAACGTTGACAGATGTCGTGCCATATTTGGTATCATACCGATCAATCAGGCGAGCGCCCCCTCTGGTGGGGGAACAGATTATTTCGGGGATACCAAATGTGGCACGACACCTCAGGTTGCTCTGAGTTTACATTTAATGGAGGACTAGACACATTTGGGTCAACAGAATTTTTATTTTTTTTGGTTTGAATTAAATATTGAAAATAAAATTTGAAATATTTTTGATTTTACTAAATAACAACAAATGTGTTGACATCAAACCAATTCATTCATTCCACCTTTATTTATAATATAAGGTTAAATGGAAGTAGTTTAGTCAGAAAAGGACTAATAGTAATTTTATGACCAAAGTTATCAAATACCAGAGCAAGATGCATTTTTATAGTGGGACGAGTTTAATATAATAAAAAAAGTTAATTTCTGTGACAAATCTGTGTGACTGCTGATTGCAAATTGTTAAAAGCTAAAACTGAATTGTTGAAATGATCTAAAAAAAAAAGTCCACAATTACAAAATAAAAGATAAAACTACCAAAATATCAACTAAAAGCTAGAATGTGCATAACAGCAGCTGATAATGTGGCAAAATAGAACAAGTAGGTGTAGATTTCAGTATTTTTCGAGGATTTAAAGAGTTTCACATTTTAATAAAAAAAAAATAGCCATTTTAATTCAATTAAAAAAAAATTGCAAGTTGCAAAAGCAAATGTCTTGAATGTTTTGAAACATAAACAGTTAAAATAGATCAGAGCCAGAGTCAGAGTTTCTTTATTGTCATTCGCACCTCATGTGGTACGTGGTGGAGCAAAATTATGTACACGGGGTCCCAGTTACATCCAACAATAAAATGTATAAGAAAAACAGTAATAACATCTAAGATATGAACTAAGAAAAACATCAACTAAATATACACTAAGCACTCATAACATAAAACATTGAACATCAGCACAAACATGAACATGAGTCTGTGTGAGCGGATGTGCACGCATGAACACAACATTGAAACAGATCAGCAGCAACATGAAACAGATCAGCAGCAACATGATGTGGTTTTTCACAGTGATTATTTTAGTTAGAGATTCATGAGTCTAACAGCCTCAGGGTAGAAGCTGTTCCTCAGTCTAGTGGTTCTACACTTAATGCTCCTTAACCTCCTTCCTGAGGGGAGCGGGGCAAAACGTGTGTGCGCTGGGTGAGTGAGGTCCTTCATGATGCAGGTAGCCCTCTTCCTGCATCTAGAGGTGTAGATGTCTGTGACGGTGGGGAGGCTGACTCCGACAGTCTTCTGTGCAGCCTTCACCACTCTCTGCAAAGCTTTTCTTTCTGCAGCTGTGCAGCCTCCATGCCACACGTTGATGCTGGAGCACAGGATGCTCTCCACTGCACACCTGTAGAAGGAGGTGAGGACTGAGCTTCCCAGACCAGCTCGCCTCAGCCGTCTGAGGAAGTAGAGTCTCTGATGAGCTTTCTTGATCAGGCTGGTGGTGTTGTTGCTCCAGCTGAGGTTGTCATTCATGTGTACACCCAAGTACTTTTATCTGGAGACCACTTCCACCGCAGATCCTCTTATGTTCAGGGGGGTGTAGATGTTTTTGTTCCTTCTGAAGTCCACAATCATCTCCTTTGTCTTCTTCACATTGATGTGAAGGTTATTCTCTCTGCACCAGCTCTCCAGGTGTTCCACCTCCTGCCTGTAGCTGGACTCATCATTGTTTGTGATGCATCCCACCACCGCTGTATCATCTGCAAACTTTACAATGTGACAGCCTGGATGGGTAGCTGCACAATCGTACGTGAGCAGAGTAAACAGGAGGGGGCTCAACACACATCCCTGAGGAGAGCCAGAGCTGAGGGTTTTGGTGGAGGAGGAGAAGTTGTGGATCCTCACTGACTGTGGTCTGTTTGTTAAGAAGTCTAGTACCCAGTTGCAGATGGAGGGGCTTAGTCCTAGTGTGAATAGTTTGTCCATCAGGGTTTGGGGGATCATGGTGTTGAAGGCGGATGTGAAGTCCACAAAGAGCATACGGACGTAAGAGTTTTTCTGCTCCAGGTGGTTGAGCGCAGTGTGGACCACAGAGGAGATGGCATCCTCTGTTGATCGGTTCTCACGGTATGCGTACTGATGAGGGTCCTCGTTGATGTTGATGGTTGTTTTGATGTGAGTCATGACCAGTTTTTCGAAGCATTTAGCGACTATCGGGGTGAGGGCCACTGGCCGATAGTCATTCAGACCAGTCACTGTAGAGCTTTTTGGGACTGGGATGATGGTGGCAGTCTTCAGGCAGGTGGGAACTGTCTCCAGGGTAAGTGAGGTGTTAAAGATGTCTGCCAGCACCTCGCAGAGCTGATCAGCACATTCCTTCAACACTTTTCTGGGGATGTTGTCTGGGCCAGTTGCTTTGTGCGGATTAATCCTCCTGAAGGTACTCCTTACTTCTGCTGAGGTCACGCTGAGATGCTCTTCATCCGGTGGTGAGGTGAGTCTGGTGCTGGGTGGTCTGTTCGGGTCTTCAAAGCGTGCATAGAACTTATTGAGGGCATCAGGCAGAGATGGGTCTTTGGGGCATTGTTCACTCCTTCCTTTATAATCTGTTATGCACTTAATGCCCCTCCACATGCTCCGAGGGTCTTGTGAGATGAATTGACCCTCGATCCTCTTTGCATATGTGGCCTTGGCCCTCTTAATACCAGCAACCAGCTCTTTTCTTGTCCTACTCAGCTCCTCTGAGTTTCCAGACCTGAAGGTAGTGTTCCTGGCTTCCAGCAGGGTGCGCACCTCTGCATTCAGCTAAGGTTTTCTGTTTGGGTAGCTTTTAACATTTCTGATAGTGGAGATGGTTTCAGTACATGTACTAATGTAACCCAGTACTGAGGATGTGTATTGGGCCAGATCAAGCGATTCTCCATTTTCAGCAGCTTCTCTGAAAACCTGCCAGTCTGTTCGGTCAAAACAATCTCTCAGTATGGGGCCACTGTCCAGGATCCAGCATTTAACTTTCTTTTGTACCGGTCTGGAGCGTCTCCGTGGGGGCATGTAAGCAGGAGCCAGGAAGACTGATGATAGATGAAAGTATAGTGAAGTATTTAGTCCTAAAAAAAACAAACTTTAAACAGGGAAACTATATAATGTGAATACTGACTCATCGTTCACACAGTAACGCAGGTCTTTTTCTTTTTCAATTCAGACTGAACTGGAGACACGAGTGTAAACATTTTTAGGTCTTTCTAGAGATCCTGTGTGGGGTCTGAGGCAAAGCTTCACTCTCAAAACTCTTATGACTCGTTTTACACTTTCCATTTAATTTTCCCTGTTTGATGATTAATCTCCATGAACAAGCAGGCATGAATGGATGGACTGTATACTCTAATCCCTGAAAAAATGTTTATTCGTTTATTCTTGGTTACTGCGATTGCAGGTAGAATTGTACATCCAGGGTTTTGACCGTGTAGATGAATGACACTTTGAGAAAAAACAAAACACTGAACTAAAAAGTCCATGCTCAATAAACCAGGTATACAATCCAACATTTTTCAGTCAGGTCATCTGGATAGTTTCTTTTTTTGGTGCTGAAACGTTTCTCCTTCGATCCGGAAGACTTCATCAGTCAAGGAAAACGCACGACAAAACTGATTCTTCCCCCAACAGCTTACTCCAAAGTGGAACAAACCAGTTCTGCTTGTGTTAAGATGAAGCCTTCCGGATCGAAGGCAAAACGTTTCAGCACAAAAAAAGAAACTGTCCAGATGACCTGACTGAAAAATGTTGAAAACACTGAACTCTTGACCTCTGTGGTCGGGGGGGATCAGGTGGCTCAACAATGCTCTAACAGGCATTTTATTGGTTTTAGAAGAATCTCTTCTGATCAATACAAAGTTTTTCTGCTTGATCACTCCACCCTAAACTAAAACATTTCCATTCTGGTGGAAGGGGTCCCAGCTTTTGTATTGTCGTCAAACATCAATCACCTGAAGGATCAATGCCTTCATTGCTAACATTATCCTCTTTAGGAACATTTTAACCTGCAGCAGACCTAAAACGTTAGCGTTGTCAAGTAATATAAGGTCATTTAACATTTGTCACCTTTTTAGTGCCTGTCTCCAAAGAGCGATGATGTTTTTACGCATGCCTGTAATCAAAAATTCTCATGAAACGATAGACACAGTTGAATACAAACTAGAAGAACATAGTCATTCGATATACCTTGATAAACATTTTGAAGTCAGCCCCATTCAAGATAGTTGCCACAGCCAATAAAAAAGAAACACAAAAATGGCTCCAATTCAGTCAATTTTACAAATATAGACTTTATATTGTGTTAGTGACTGAAACTGATCCCAAACATACATTTTAATGAATTTATCAGAAATTAATCAATGGATGCACATTTTTGATGTCAGGCCAGTTCAAGATGGCTACCACGGCTAATTAACATTGACCAACACAAAAAATAGCTGTAACCCAATTTTACAGATATCTAGCTAAACTTTAATGTGGTAGTAGCTGAGAGTCATTTACAGCCCATATGCTGAACGTGACATGTCGCAATGGCTACTGAAACCAAACCAAAATGGCTGCTACTCCAGTTCTCAAAATCAGATGATTTTACTCTAAAATTCTGGTTATGAATGGCTTGGCCTGTCACGATAACAAATTTTGCTGGGCGATTAATTGTCTCAGAAATTATTGCGATAAATAATAATATTGTTTGAAAGTTGACAATAATTAGTAATTATTGTCAAATTTAAGAAGAAATGTTGGTTAATTTGTTTTGAGCGTAGTACTTTCTTTTGACCACTGGATGGTAGTATAAGACAGTTTGAACCGAAGGATGGATAGTGAGGGAACGAGCAGCGTGTCTCTAAGAAAAATGGGAGGGAGGCCTCTTGACACAGTGTTGACAGGTGTACGATAATTATCGTATTTGTACGACAATTTTGCCCTC